ATCCAATTCTAACTCGGTATGAAACCTATAATTATCTAAATATTAGAAATATTTCATAGTTACCATTTCTGAAAAATTGTGTATTCTGTGTTTCTTTTTTGTACGGCTTGTTATTAGAAATGTTAGAAATTAATGGGCTACAAGAATCGTCCCAATTCCTCAGGATAAGTTTACCTAAGTTGAATTTGGTTATTTAGATCCCTTTTTTTGTCTTTTGGGTTTTCTAGCTAGTCACGTAGTTAAGTCTTATACCCACTTGGCTTTCAATGGTTTAGGGTTGAGTCTTCTTGATGTAGGTAACTCCAGAAACTCGCTTCGGACGTTATTTTCATTTAAACATTGGAAATGACATGCATGTCTCGGTTTTCTCTCAATACATTCGGTATAGATTCCTGCATTGACTGTGTTATAAGCTAAGCGTTACACGTTATTTTGCATTGTATATATAGAATAACCATATATTGTATCGAAATATAAATTTTATTTGTACAAGGCTTAGAAACAGGTAAAAAGCGAGGCTTTGCCGAGAATTTCTATCTTGTTTTGAGCCGAGTACAAATATAATTTATATTTTGATACAATGTATGGTTATTGTTTATATGCTGCAATTCCTACAACTGTTCCAAATGAAATATTTAGGGTAAAAACCATCATTTTTTAATTTAATTCCGCGAACCTGTACTTTCAATGACGTCATAAATAAAACTCTACGGAAATGCATTGTCTACAGGATTAAACGCCTTTTTATAGGAATTTATTGGTGTATAAATTGGACCAATTCACTCACAAACAAATAAAAGTTCGAAGGACTTTTATGACATGTTTGTAAGTGACTTGGTCCAGTTTATACACCAATAAATTCCTTTAAAAATGCGTATAATCCTTATAATTCTTTGAAATTGGAGATAAGGAATTTAATTTCCCCACTCGCAACCTCTATCACACGTAAATTGAACATCTGTGTCATTGAATTGGCCTGGCGCATGGAAATATTTTTGGTTAACGCACTCCATGAAATTTGCTATCTGATAAAAAAAACTACAAAAATATCTTACTATCATTCAAATGAATGTTTTGTGTTTATTATTTAATTTAACGATTAAAGCGAAGTGAAAATAAATATTTTTAACGTCGCCGCCATCTTGTTTACATTGGTTACCAAAAGTAGTTCCGTCAACGTCGTCCATCGAAAAATAAATAACTACAAGGGCGAACACGGAAGCCCTCTGGACCAATCATATTTACGTATTCCCTTATATGCAAATTATATAAGAATTATAACGTCATAAACAAGGCAATATACGGTCAGTGACTGTATCACAAATGATTATACGGTCAATGCAATTTGACTGCGCAAATAGCATAGCTGCAGTATATATTGTTTCAAACAACTATAACAAATATCAGGAGTATACGTTGCTCTTTTCAAGCAAATGATTTCAACATCTTCAAAAACAGACGTTTGTCTTCTACTTAGCAAACTTCAAGACTCTAAACACTGCATCTGTTTTACCAAACGTTCTATTCCTTTAGGATAAAATTACAACAATTAAGATAGTTTTATCCCCTGAAAGATGGGAATATACCAAGAAGAGATATAAATAAATTGTTTAAGACAGCATGCAATGAAATAAAAACGGATTAGTAACTATATAAAAGTATCTGACCTTTGTCTGGCGAATAACAAAAATAGGAAAAACTGATGTCTTATACATGCCTGTATATTTACATATGGTGTGATCACTTTCCCATCCTCTCTTCATCATTCCTTACATTAATGAATGAAATTTATTACTGTTTGTGTACACGAAAAGAGCAACACAAAGGGTGCCATGAGTGCAGTAAGAACTGCGTACCCTTCTTATGTTTGTACTTTCACTTACGGTTTTCGCTTGCCATAGGTTCATTTTTCGCCATCATTAGATTTTCTATGATTTTGTTTGTTCGTCTTTTTTATATGTTTCAATCTTCAACTCCCCACTCGCCTCCTTACTGCAGACCATAGGCAACGATTTTAATTTTAAAGTTTATTTCTGTTTCAAATGTTAAATAGAGAATATCACATGGCTTTTTCACTATCACACCTGTATCAACCCAAGACACCGATATAATCACAAGAGCTCTGCTCGAGGGATTATATTGGTTGAGGGTTGATACAGAGTGTGATATTGAAAAAGCCATATCATATACACTTTATTATATACATTTACCTCAAGTACAACTAATTTAGATGGTTTTTTTCACGTGACATGACGTAAAACATATAAAATGGGTTTGACAAAGCCCTTGTAACCGTGACTGATCGATTACGTGACGTCATACAGATAACGGGTTTGATAAAGCCTTTGCAACCGTGACTGATATCAATATCATCACGGTTGGCTGATACAGCATGATTGCAATCGATTGTATTACACATACAATTTACTTGTATTTACTACTACGTATATAATGAAGAATGTAATTTCAATTTATGGAAAAATTCTTAGGGTAAAATTTCTGATTATAAATTACAGGAACTGAAATCAATTGTTTATAAAACGTCAATCATTTTTTTATGCAGAAAATATCAGTTTGTTTTATAAGTAGATGCCGTATTGGTCAGACTAGAATAACACACGAGTACCTTCTATGTGTGAAGTCCAGCCAAAATGTTTACCTTGTGAACTAGACATGTTTTAGCTAACTTCATTGACATCATACGATGTAAAGTGGTCTCTTCTTAATACCGAACACATGATTATTCTCTAAGACTTGACACCGTTTTTTTTCATCTCAATGGATTCAATATATTATGGCGTTTCACTAATTTTCTCAACATATTTCTCATAGATATTGTAGTCTCTGAAAGCTCTTCAGAAGTTCAGATATGAATTATTTTTTTATGGTTTTATCATAGATACATGTATTTGTTCTCTTACTTAATGAACTAATAAATTGATATCTAAACTGGTTTTTATATTTTTCATTGCTCAATTCATGGGTTGGCATCTATGATGATTGAGGATCGTGACCTCATATTTGCATTGCTGTTGCCTTCTTATCACCTTAATCTTAGATTGCTTTAATTAACAGAATTACTTTTTTATATTTTTATTACGCTTGTATGCAATTATATTAATATATATATTCTGGATCGTTTTGTGATATCTTTAATAATTTTATCCTAGACTTAGCCTTAGGGAATACGCATGTGTTCGGTAGAGGATACCACATGAAAATAAACCCGGAAGTAAAAAAATAGTTCTAAAATATTTTGTACATTCAGTTAATACTTAAAAGTAGTTAAATGTACCGGAAAACCTTATGTTCATTCAGTTATACCTAGAAGTATGTTTGTTTAATTAAAAAAAAAATGACGGGTTATTAATTTTGCTAGTCTTATTTGTTTCTTTGTTGTCTAGTTATTATTTTTGTGGTTTTGTTTTGTTTACTTTGCTTTTGTTTTGTTTCATTATTGCTTTATGTGGTTTGTGTTTTGTTTGGTTGACCTGATTTGGAAGATGAAAAATCCAGAAAATCACTTCAGGCGCAGCAAAATTGTTTTCATTTTCTATCATTAAATTTGGTTCGATACCACTGCTAGTTGATTGCTAGACTCCGAGGGTATCATCGTAGTATCATCTTTTATATTATAATTTTCAACAAATTTGAGCCCATCAATAAAAAAAAAATACCTGATGAGAATAAATCCAGAAGAGCACTTCGGACTCAACGAAGTTATTTCATTTTTGTATTCTACACAAACCGACTTTTTCTCAAGAAGCAAGGGTTATTTTGAATTTAATTCAGTGACTGTGATTATTCAGAGATAACTTTATTTGCATTTTCTTGTCAATAATCATTCTCTAAGGTATTTGACCTATAGCTTCGCATCACGGTGCGAAGCAATTAGTTTCATTGGATATTCACGCCATCTTGATTAGTATTACTTATAGAATAACTAATCGAAGAATTCAAATAGAGAAAAATATTCAACGACTGACCGAACAACACATTAATTCACAAATGCGCGTAGCGCATGAGTTAATTATCAGTGTTGTTCGGTCACGAGTTGAATATTTTTCGATATTTGAATTCTTTGATTAGTTATTTTTTTTATTACATTGGCAAATGGCTTTTTTTTTATGAAATTAAAGTAGAAAAATGTAAGGAACTATATCTTTTTCTACGCATTCACAATTTGTTTTGATCCGACGTTATCGACGTCTTGACAACGCTTATTGTTGTATGACGTCAGAGGAGTGAAATAACCACGTTTATTTCACATGTGAAATTATCGGTTTTTATTTCACTGGGAAATCAATGAAATTCATTGCAACCAATGTAATAATTATAAAAACTTATACTACAAATATCGGTTCTGATTTGTTGTCTTATGAAGTGGCTAAGGTATTGGCTGGAAATGAGATATAGAACTAGGAGCATGTCCAGGACAGGAGAAGATATTAAATATGGAAGATAAGGAATACAATTCCATATGAATATTCAACACCCGATCAACAATTATTGCGTCATATTGACGTAATTCATGATACTGCGAAGTACTCCGTGCCTTTTAAGAAAAGTTAAACTTGTCTCACGTTAAGATTTGTGAAATGTATATTATTCTGCACCTGGAACATACCTGTGGTCTTTATTTCCTAATTATTGTAATATAGTGATAATTTGCAATAATTATTATGTAGATTTCAGCACGCATCACTTTATTTCCCAATCAATGGCTTACTTAGGATGAAAATGAAGTTAAAAAATTTGATATTTTTTTCTGAAATTGAACTAATATTGTTCATTTCTTAGATTGGTTGCGACTCCCCTTTTTGAACTTACTTTGGAGTTTAGTATGTTTGTTTATACTTTTTGCAATAGAATACTGTGATTTCCTATTATAATAAAACAAATAATTTTGCATGTGAAGAAATCCTGTAATTTCTTTCTTCTGACGTCATACGTAAATAGGTGCTGTTTTTTGCGTCTTCAATGGCGTTGTAGAAAAGATATTGTATTTTGCATTTTATTATTCGTTTACAGCTCAATTCAATGAATTATAAAAAAAAAACTAATCTGATAATTCAAATATATAAAACTGTTTAAACATTATAAGATATGACCTCCGTTTTATCTATTTAGGTATGATAATTTGATACACAGAGAAAATACTACAACTTTACAACAAAATATAAAATATAAACTCTTCTATGAATATTTTATCTTGTAACTATAAAACTTTTACATTTTAATTTTGAAAGCTTTGATTTAGTGTTATAGTGTTTGAGAACAGGTCAAACTATCCATGCAATTGCTTTTATAGCCGATCCACCTATAGCTTTAATGCCTCCCCATAAAGAACGCAAACCATCTATAATTTCATTTGCTGCTTCTTTGAAAAAATCTTTGGTTCTTTTCCACCATGACCTCTTTGTCCATGTGCACTCGATTCCGTCTTCCTCTATATCGATAACTAATTCATTGTCTCCTGACCCATTTTCAAATTTTATTGGGTTGTCAAGCTCGTCAGAAATATAAATGTAAACATGGTAATCTTCCTCTCCATTTAAAGCTTTGTGTATTTGAAGTCGTAGTTTTTGAAGGTTGCGTTTTAACGGATCAGCCAGTTTTCCTTTATATTGACGAACTAGTTTGTTAATTTCCTCGTGAGTCACTCTACCATAAAATGTTTCACTCTATTAAAATAGAAAACAACTAATATAATTTTGCTTTCTTCTCCTTTTTTCACAGGGGGATATAAAATTTCGCATAGTTCTCGAAATATCAATTATAACTTCCAAAATAGATACAACATTATATGTATGTAATTTGTCGAATGTTAAGTACTAAATGATTACCCCATTGCTGACATTTTTTTCATTTGCTTTGTGCATAATGCCTTCAAGGAGAAAAATATGCAAACGGTATAACAACAAATCGAAGATAATCAGCATTTTTTTTGTATCTCTATCCCATGTTTCTTTCCGACTGCGCCCATGTAACTAGATTTGCCTTTGATTGTGTCGTAATAACGGAACCTATTCGTACATGTATGAATATAAAATTCGGAAAGAACATTCGGGACAAAATGAAAATTTGATATAGTTTTCAATTAAACAGAGTAAATAATTTTTTTTAGAGTATATGCTTATTTTGCGTGTATGCTCCGGTGTTGGTGAACCCAAGTGACAATCGTTAATTTGAACTAAAGACAGAGCACATAAATGGAATTCTAATATTTACACAATTATTAATTTAAAGCTTCGTGTATGGAACATTACATTTTGGTTACTTTTTTTGTTTGTTTTGAATAAGTTCAATCCATTTCTTCATGCAAACGAATTATGTAAATTCTGTTGTGTACAATCAAGTAACCCTATTAAAATCCGGAAAACAACTATCACTTGTAACAGACTTTTATTGAAAGTAGAAGAAAAATCGATCATGTACACATTTTATATTTGGGGTATTAAGTTAAACAACAGAAAATAGTTTCTGAAAGATTGGCTATATAAACAAACTTAATATTAAATAATAATGCACCCGAAAAAAAAACACACAATAAAAAAACAAAAAAAATATCAAAGACGAATTACTGTACGTACCATCTTGAATTTTAAGGTCGTTAACTCCTCTCTGTCATGAAGTAGAATACACAAAGGTAATAAAAGTTTTATAAGAGTTTAAAATAAACAGTATATTTATAAATTATCAGTTGTTATATACCTGAATTAAATTATCTATTTTTAGTTTTTTTTTGTACCCGAAGTCGTCAATCTTTTCAGTTTCATACGAGAATAGATAGGGGATTTCTTACATATAAATTTATCTTGAACTTGTTAAATCTAAAAATAAATAAATTCATATGTTTGCTTAAAATATACAAATGTAAGGATATCATTTACTTATCGAACGTCAACCAAGAAACAATATGGAATATTCCCAAACTGTAAGTAAGATTTAAAGTTCTGATACTTGTAGCATACTTATAAGGCATTGTTATCTAATATTGTGGCCGAAGTAAAATAGTTTTCGATTAATATAGAATGATTTTGTTTGCCAATTCCTGCACTTTCTCTGCTCGGTAAGTGCACAAAGCTTCCAATTTAATTAATCTAAATACGTTGGTTTCTGTTATTCTCAAAACCGAACAAAAAAAGTTGCCTTTTTTCACAGATAAATTATTTCGGTATTAAAAAAAATTCAACCTTAATTTGTGTTTTTATGAATGTTATGAATTAACTGTTAACATAACTTTTTCGAAATACTAAGGATTTTTTACCCCAGGCATACATTACCTTAGTTGTATTTGGCAAAACCTTTCGGAATTTTGGGTCCTAACTGCTCTTCAACTTCATACTTTATTTGGTCTTTTTATCTTTTTTGATTTGAGCATCACTGATAAGTCTTTTGCCGACGAAACGCGCGTCTGACGTACAAATTTTAAATCCTGGTATCTATGATGAGTTTTTTTATACATCAGTTTTAAACTTGCCAGAATTTGGTACTTTGGTTAAATTATTGCTTATAACAGATGTACTATTTATATTGCTTCCCGAACCTTTGGTCTATCTAGCGTATACGTATCTTATGCAGAATATTTCCGGAATTACGCGAAGAGGACATTGACCTTGGTTTCTACGTTTATTTTAGCCTTCAAACATGCAAATAAATCTTAGGCAACAACAAACAATTTTATTTGAATTATCATATGTTTTTTTCAGAAAATGGTCAAAACCTGATTTGGCATTAATTTAGGCTATCTTATTTTATGTGTGACAACAATTTAAGTTCATTAACGACCGTATTGAATAATATTGATACATGATTTATAAGATTTTCACGTTTTGCAAAACCTACATCAGTAGTTGTCGTTTGTTGATGTGATTCATAAGTGTTTCTCGTTTCTCATTTTTTATATAGATTAGACCGTTGGTTTTCCAGTTTGAATGGTTTTACACTAGTAATTTTTGGGGCCCTTTATAGTTTGCTGTTCGGTGTCAGCCAAGGCTCCGTGTTGAAGACCGTACTTTGACCTATAATGGTTTACTTTTATAAATTTTGACTTGGATGGAGAGTTGTCTCATTAGCACTCATACCACATCTTCTTATATCTATTAAAAATCAAAAGCGGCCATTTTAAAAACTAACTAATGTCTCAGAGTAGGAAAGTAAACAACAGCTAATTAAGATATTCAGAATGAGTAGTTCCGGTATTCTAGCAAATGATCAGGAATTTGATTTTGCTGTAGTGAATTGAAACACTTTTTATTAATATATATTGATATACTTTTTCAATGATAGACTGAGTGTAACATGATAAATAATTAACATTTCTAGTCATAAATCAGCTGTCATTTATAAGTGTCAGCTAATTTTATCTACTTAAACACTACACAGAAAACTTAAAAATAAGCAACACAATCACCAATAGCCGGGGACGATTTCAAGTGATCCGTCAGGAACAAATTTTAATATTTCTTCCAGAGGCAATAATATCCCAAAATATTTCGTCCAATTGGAACTAATATAAATAAGAACTTCTGTTCCATGACATGTTGTTGTCTTTCATTTTTGTTTTTAATTTTTTCTCGTTTGAATCATTCTTCCATTTTTTTAAATCGGAACCCATTAGAGCGTTTAATATACGGAATTGGTACTGTCTAAGGCTGTACGGTGACCTATAGTTGCTTATATTATTATTGTGTATATTGTTACTAATTTGATTAGTTTAGAAAGAGTCACATGTTCAACTATATTTTCAAAGGTAGACGGAAAACAGCAGATATAAAAGTGATATTGCACGTTTTTTTTTTAGAAAAGTGATACAGCACGGTTATTTTTTTTAGAAACAATCAAAACAAGCAATCAAATGAATTGGTACTCTTCTTCTGGCTTATTCGCAATAATAATATAACAATTGTTGCCTTTGTATGAGGTCGATACGAGGGTTTATCGTCTTAAAGAAGTATATCGACCTCGGAAATCGTCCTCAGTCAATATACTTCTTTCAGGTCGATATATCTTCGTACAAAGGCTATAATGTATAATATCCAATTCAATTGGTTACTGGTATGACATCTATACGCATATCAAGTACTTCCGTATAGCAAGATTTCTATGAGCCGATACATATTTCAATTTTATCTATTTAATTGAACCCAGTTCTAACTAAAGCTTCAAATAAATGTCTACTACTTGAGACCGTTTCTGCACATATTCAAATTTGTTATTGTAGGGTGTCTCTGCCTTATACCTCAAATTCGTTTAATCCATATATTGAGCACTTATTGATAGACACAAAAAAAGTACTGCTAAAACAGTACTACGGGCATTTGATTTTGATGTAACGTTTAATATTTTAGTTCATAGTTGAAGACTAGGTTTAAAAAAAAACTTGTAACAGCTATGTTAACTTCTTTGATTATTAATTATTTCTAGCAATTCATAACCTTAATTCTGCCTTTTTTCTATTTACGATACTTTTCATAAATTAGATTTCATACACGTTGTAAGACGTCATACATCTTTGAAAAAATAATTTGAACATGTATATACTGAAAAACTTTTCCCCGTACTATTAATATAACAGAATATTTCGCAGTTCAAGGCTTCTACAGCAATTTCTCGCCAACCACTTATCATATTACAAAATATTATCATTCAGTGCTCATTTTTTGTAAGATGGACATATGAAGGTCATGCACACAAAATGGTTTCTTTCCACTTACTGCTAACATAAATAATTCTACAATTTATTGAATATATGAATGTAGACTTAACATGCTGTCTAAAACAATCCAATTCTCGATGACCTTTTGTATTTTCAGTCTTGGAGCAATGGACATGAAGAAAACAATTACGATGACATTGAACGGCAGGTAAGTCATGCATAAATAAATCTTTGCTCGGAGAGTAATAAAGCTTTCACTCAAACCTATTGGTCTACAAATGAAGGTCTTTCTATGGTTTGTTTATTTAGATAAAACGTAAAATCCTTTTTTTTTTAAAAAACGTTTACTCAAAAAACTAATCAAATAATTAATTGCGATTTCGGCTAATCCATAAATGAGGAAACCATTTCGCTACCGAGCTTGAGTATCCGGGAAAGTCCAAACTTACAAATTGGAATATTTTGGAACTGCTATACATCTATATTTCTACAATCTCGTTTTTAAGATGTCGTTAGGAAGATAGTTCTTAGTTGCAATGTAAAACTTGTCATTATATTGGCATAAATATAAAATTCAACTTTGAAAAATCATAACTTTCCCTTGCTCTTCAAGTGGCCATGGTATTTAATCCCTCGGGAGTATAATTAAATCACTGCAATTAAAAGTGTCGGAATCAAACTCAGTCATTATACCGACATGCCGAGTCTGATGTAAAGTGCTAGTTCATTAGATGCCGTCCTAATGAAGACAAAATAGGGTATGCACCAGGCCATTGTGTGAGTGTGCCAACTGGTTACTGTTTTCGTCGACGTAATCTTGGCAATATTTTCTTTTTCATTTGCGTCGTTTCTGAATAATTACCAGTATTAAGCAGGGTCAATTAAGACTTGAACAATGTCAATCTGGGATCGTTGTTTTATGGTTACATGTAATTTTGATATTTACTTCTTTGTGTGATAATTGATGTTGTTTCAATTGAAATGATTATGTCAGTTTTTGGGATTTATTGTGTATTGTCCGTCTTTCTACGGTTTCCGACTTCTGATTGCTCCATTTGCAACTTTTCTTGAACGCCTCCTTTATTATTCTTTGCGTACCAATGTTCGTAGGAAATATCTAGTCTTACTCGTCTATTCTTTAAAAATGTTTTGCCATCGTTAGTAATGATAATGATTGTCCAATGCTTTGAATTATCAAATTAGTTATTAGTCATTATGTTTTTAGATTAACGCTGCGCATAAAAAAAGACAACAGAAGCAACATAAAGTAAAAATTAACGACGACGTGAGTATGAATAATCTTGTTTTAAGTTTATCAGTTTATATATAAAAATAGAAGATGTGGTATGATTACGTATCTTCACCAGATACCAATCATTTAGAAGTTGACAACTATATGTCACCGTACGGCTTCAACAATTAAAAAACCCAAACCGCATTTAACGGCCCCGAATGGATAAATGGACAAATGTAAAACAATTCAAACGAGAAAACTAACGGTCTGATTTATTTACATAACAATAAACGAAAAGCATACGTGATATACAGCTACAAACGACAACCACTGAATTACAGGCTCCTGACTTGGGATAGGTATTGTTGATTTTTTACATTTCCTCTCTGAAAGTAAAGTTTCATTATATATTTGAAAATCCAATTGGATTTTTCGATTTCTAAAATTTAAATTTCCATGCATGATTCTAGAAATATATTTATATATACATTTCACTACAATTTTTTTTTAAATATCAGCAATATTTATCAGTGGCGTATATTCTCGATCTTTCTTGGAGGAAAGTTATTCCACTTTCGGTACATTAATATCTTGTATCTGCAAATTATCAAGATTGAATATTTAAGAATCATGTTTTCAGATCGATGAATTGTAGAAACAAAAAATCGATCAAGGCGCAAAGTTATTAAATGTACCTGGGTTGTTTCTTGCATGTAGCCGGTCAAGATTATACAGAAAGATTTTAATCTAAACAGACC